TGAGTTGACAACATACATTTACACATGGGAAAGGTACAGACTTCTGGAGCTGCTGTGGGACTCACCATGGACATGGTACTTGACATTCCTTGGCGTAGACTTTGGATACTACTGGTTTCACCGCATGGCACATGGTAAGCTTTAGCTTAAAAGTTGATTTTCTTTTGTGACAAGTGTAATTAATATGTTATTCCAAGATGTCCTGGTAGACATGCTGAAATGGATATTGATCTTACCCTTTAATTCTGTGGTTCTACTGTGGAAGCTGCTCTCAGTTTTCAAGAATGCCTTCAGGACTTTTTGTCCCAAGCAGCAGATCCTCCAGATGGAAGCTGGCAAGTACACCCAGAGACAAATAGTCAAAAAAGAAAAAAGAAAGAAAAAAGAAAAAAGAAAAGAAAAGGCAGTCTGGGACCTGGAAATATGTAAATTGCAGCAAGAAGAAATATTTTTAATTTTTCTTATGAACTATGCAAAGATGCATCTAATTGGGATTTACTTTAGGGCCACATCAAACATAATGACTTTGAATCTGAGTTTGAACAGGGTTAAATGTAAAGTTTTACATACACAGAGTGTATAAAGTAATTCTTTCCTAGATGACAAATGCATGGTAATACAGAATATCCATGGCTATAGATAAATGGCACAGTTCATACAGGGGGAGCACTGGTGCACAAAGCCCTCTGTAAAGGTTTAAATTATCCAATTGCTTCAGGTAACAGTTAACTGTTCACAGGGGGATAGGGAACAAGACATGACCTTATAGATGTACAGGCATCACCAGTCCTATATTTGTGCATCTGACTTTTCCTTCTTAAATGTAAAGGAAAAGTCAGATGCACAAATATAGGTCTTTGTGCACCAGTGCTCCCCCTGTATGAACTGTGATCACCAGTCCTATATTTGTGCATCTGACCTTTCCTTCTTAAATGCAATGTGTATGCATTAATGAGTATAATCAGAACCAAAATTGTATTGTATGAGTTGGGTACATCAGTACACTAATGAGAAATTACAATGGTGTTATCGTAACAATCGAGGATATAGACAGAAATAACATTTTGAAACTATTAACAGTTGTTCAGTCAGAAACAAATGTCTTCCATTACACTGAGCAGCTCATGAGATGAAAGGGTCAATAAGCTTATGGCACAGGGTGTTGATTGGCTTGTACCCATGCTCTCACCAAGAAACTTTTCTCTCCCACTCTACCAATCCTGTTGCACAAGTAACAGTTTTGTACAAATATCAGAAGCTACTTATATATTTTAGGACATTATAGTAATAAATCAGTAGATAAGCACACATACAGCTCTTTAAACAATGAAAACGTTGGACATGTTGCACATAGCATGGAATAGTTGAGGCTGGTGGTTGTACCTGTGTTTAATGTGTTGGAATTTAAATACTGGTCACAGCTTGTAAACTCTCCATCTGGTTCATAGCTGTTTATCTTTAATAATCATGAGCATCAAGTTGATTCTGACTTATGGTGACCCTTTTCAGAATACTCAGAAGTGATCTTCTGGGGGTGCTCTGGGACTGTACAGCTTGCTAATAGTCACACAGACTGGCTGTGCTCTCAGGAGGCACGTTGGGGAACAGAACTCCCAACCTCTGGCTCTGCACCCAGATACCTAGGATGATCTTTGTCCTTATAATCCTGTATGTGGTTTAAGATCAGCATCTGAGGCCCTGCTCTCAAGCCAGCTATTGACATAAAGATTGCCTCTAACCATTGATGGCACCTGTGCTGTTGGAACTCTCTTCTTAGGGAGCTCTGTCAGACTCCTCTCCTAGCTGTCTCGTACACCTTCCTAGTGAGTGTGTTTTATACTGGCTGTTTTTACTATTTTCTTAAGGCTTTTGATATGTTGCACTATTTTAAGTATTTAATAATATAGTTCACTTATTACAGTATTATTGTTCTAATATAAACAGCTCCAAACTTAGTTTGAAAACCAGAGTTTAAATAATTTAAAATGGAGTTAACCCCAGACACTGCCCTTTTTGTTATATCCATTCTTCCCGTAGTGAGGTTAGCGTGCCTTGAATTAGTGGGGAAGCCACACCAGGTTATGCATTTCTCAATTTCCTTTGTACTGTATTGCATTTAAGTCTTCCAGATTTTATAGTCAAAGGGAACACATTGCAAAGTTCTTGGATGTGCAGGGGAAAACAATTGGCGCTGACTTTGAAAAAAAAATGGTGCAGAGCAGGTAGGAAATTATTATGGGTTGTTGAATTGAGTGGAAGGGAGGGATGGGCTGTAGTTCTGATGGGAACAATGATTATGGAAAAAGGAATGGGGTCATATCCAGGCTAGAACAATGCTGGGAGGGTTTTGGAGTTAAGTAGAAGGGGAAGGAGGTGATCGGACATACAACATTCCTATGGGAAAGAACTCCAGACTTAATTTTGGGAGAAGGGTGCATGGGATGAGGAAGTGCATGGGAGATGAGACAATAATGCTGAGAAGAGGGGAATATTCATCAAAAGAGGTAGCCAAGTTCTTATGTGGGTGTGTGAGGGGGGATATGTTTCGTAAACAATGACATTAACTATATTGGCAGCACTATGCTGGCCTTCCATAGTGTTCATGAAAAGCTATTATTTTACATAGCACATAATTCAGTCAGGAAAACTCACATTGGCAAAGAGAACAAGAAAAACTGTTCTTTTATGTATAGCAGAACTGCTGATGAATGCTGGATACTTTTTAAAATGAGACAACTTCATTGTAGGTAATGTGATTTTGCTAAGGTTCAAGATACATATAACACTCAATTGTATGATTCTGTCCCCAGATATTTGTTATTTTTGTGTGTGTGTGTGTGTGTGTGTGTGTGTGTGAGAGAGAGAGAGAGAGAGAGAGAGAATGGAAAGCAAGAATGCAAAGCAGCATTTTAGACTATGATCAAGGGCAGAAAGAGCAGGGGGCTGTTTAGCTTCTTTTGTTCCTGCCATTTGTTTGTTCAGTGCTCCCGCACCCCACATAGTGCAGGGGAAGATCCAGACAAGATCCTGTCAAGGAAACAATGCAAAATTTAGCATCACATGCTGCTTGAGCCTTGGTTGTAAAGAAAGTGTATCAATGTGTTTCGTTCCAGCACAGCACAGTCATTAATCTGGAACACTAGGTGGGCATTAGTACATTTAAACACCTGGACATCCCACTTAAGTTGGCTAAAGAGACATCATCATCATCATCTTAGAACTGCAGAGGTGTATGTTGAACTTATTTATAAGGCAGGTATTGTAGTCCATTTTCTGCTTCTTATGTTCTTTTCAGCCAAAAAAGCTCTCAAAAAAGATAAATAAATGTATAGAATAGAGATTTGGCGTACATGGGGAAAATCTATTTTGAAAATCCTGTAGCTGGCTGTTAAATTTGTAGCAGATCTAACAATTTTAACATTAAGCTGAAGTTTTTCTAAAAAAACTTAATGTGGCCTTTTCTCTCCTATTGTAATTATTCTGTTATTATGGACAGATTGCCAGAGATTAGCAATAACATATAGTCATTAAAGTTACCAATTTAGTTGAGACATTCACTAAGAGAAGTGGGCAGGTTAACTGGGGTTTAACTTAACATAGGATTGCACCTGCATTTTCTCCATCATCATCATCTTAGATCTGCAGAGCTGGAAAGGACCCTGTGAATCATCGAGTCCAACCCTATGAAGGAGACACAGTAGGGAATCAAACTCCCAACCTCTAGTGTCACAACCAGATACTTAAACCACTGTGATACCTACTTTACAAGGGTGTGAACACAGAGATTTGTCCTGGGTTGATATGAATTTCTCTATTCTGTCCCCTGGCATTTAAAATGCTGCTGCAGTTTACACAGAAATATTTAATTATATCAGGAAGTTACGTTTCAACGTCCACACATCATACATCTCTCCTACCGCTCTACCCTTCTATGCCATTATCATCACCTTCTTACTTGCCCCTTTAACCAATATATTCAAGACCTTTCTTAAAAAAAAATTAGCAAGTGAAAGCACTGGACTGGCAAGACATAGTAAGCATTTGAATTAATTTATCACTATAAGTAAAAGTCCAGGTTCAGGTTTAACAGGGCCATGTAACTCAGTGGTTGACTTTGGTTGGGCCAATACCTCTCTTATCTTGACCTACTCCACAGAGTTGTTGTGAACATAAAGTGGGAGTCTTGAGATCCTTGGGGGGAAAGGGGTTATAAATGTCAATATATTTAGCAACAGCACTAAACTAGGGAATAAAATACTGGTAAGAATGCAATTTACACATTGCAGTTGTAGCCTTTATCAGTGCAAGCATGAGCACCACTCTGTGCATCATCAGTGATGTCATAGGCACATCCAGCAGTGACTCTAAAGACTACTAAAGGTGATCTCTCAGGCTAAAGGCAAGACGAAATAGTATGAAGGAAAGTGCTGCAAAAACCCACAAGCCCTAGTCAGCAAACAAAATACTTATGCTAAAATATTGGATCTCCTCATGATTAGTGCTAATGTTGTATAGTCAACAAAATACCAAAAAGAGACAAATACCTTAAGCATTTTTTCCAGGTAATTTGCACTCTGCTTTATAAAGCATTTTTGTTTCAAATACACAGTTATCCAGACATCTCAAGTTACTAAAACTAAATACATCCTTAGTATTTGGGGTTACACCCAAAGTTAAGTTATAAATTTATTCACCACTATGTTTAATATGAACAAAACATATTGTTAATTTACAGTGGAAAGGGAAAAATACAATGAAAAACAAGATATATTCAGTCATAAGGCAGGTGGTCCTGAAATGAGAAACTGAAATATGTACAAGCTTAATTCTGAAATACATTTTTTCATCTAGATAACTTAGAGGGTAGAGTAGGTGGAAGTCCAACTTCATTTTCAACAGAGCCATGAAACTCAGTGTTTGCCTTTGGTTGGGCCAATCCATCTCTCTCAGCCCGACCTATTCCATTGTTGTGAACATAAACGGGAGTTCTAAGATCATCAGGAGAAAGGGGGTTATAAATGGAAATAATAAAATAATAGTAGTAAATAATATGCATCTAGCTGTCAAAATACCAGTTAATTAACGTTGTGTAAACTCTGTCATGGGACAGTCCTGCAGCTTTAAAACTCTGGTT